GACGGGGAGGGGGGCAAGGAGGTGGAGAAGAAGAACGGCAAGTACGAGAAGCCGCCGTTCAGCTACAACGCGCTCATCATGATGGCCATCCGGCAGAGCCCCGAGAAGCGGCTCACGCTCAACGGCATCTACGAGTTCATCATGAAGAACTTCCCCTACTACCGCGAGAACAAGCAGGGCTGGCAGAACTCCATCCGCCACAACCTGTCCCTCAACAAGTGCTTCGTGAAGGTGCCGCGCCACTACGACGACCCGGGCAAGGGCAACTACTGGATGCTGGACCCGTCGAGCGACGACGTGTTCATCGGCGGCACCACCCGCAAGCTGCGGCGCCGCTCCACCACGTCGCGCGCCAAGCTGGCCTTCAAGCGCGGGGCGCGCCTCACCTCCACCGGCCTCACCTTCATGGACCGCGCCGGCTCCCCCTACTGGCCCATGTCGCCCTTCCTGTCCCTGCACCACCCCCGCGCCAGCAGCACTTTGAGTTACAACGGCACCACGTCGGCCTACCCCAGCCACCCCATGCCCTACAGCTCCGTCTTGACTCAGAACTCGCTGGGCAACAACCACTCCTTCTCCACGGCCAACGGCCTGAGCGTGGACCGGCTGGTCAACGGGGAGATCCCGTACGCCACGCACCACCTGACGGCCGCCGCGCTCGCCGCCTCGGTGCCCTGCGGCCTGTCGGTGCCCTGCTCCGGGACCTACTCCCTCAACCCCTGCTCCGTCAACCTGCTCGCGGGCCAGACCAGTTACTTTTTCCCCCACGTCCCACACCCGTCAATGACTTCGCAGAGCAGCACGTCCATGAGCGCCCGGGCCGCATCCTCCTCCACGTCGCCGCAGGCCCCCTCGACCCTGCCCTGTGAGTCTTTAAGACCCTCTTTGCCAAGTTTTACGACGGGACTGTCCGGGGGACTGTCTGATTATTTCACACATCAAAATCAGGGGTCTTCTTCCAACCCTTTAATACATTAACATCCCTGGGACCAGACTGTAAGTGAACGTTTTACACACATTTGCATTGTAAATGATAATTAAAAAATAAGTCCAGGTATTTTTTATTAAGCCCCTCCCCCCCATTTCTGTACGTTTGTTCAGTCTTTAGGGTTGTTTATTATTCTAACAAGGTGTGGAGTGTCAGCGAGGTGCAATGTGGGGAGAATACATTGTAGAATATAAGGTTTGGAAGTCAAAATTATAGTAGAATGTGTATCTAAATAGTGACTGCTTTGCCATTTCATTCAAACCTGACAAGTCAAAGAGCCGCCAAATTTCCATGTGTGCAGTATTATAAGTTATCATGGATCTATATGGTGGACGCAGACCTTGAGAACAGCCTAAATTATGGGGAGAGATTTAAAATGTTAAACTGTAATTTGTATTTAAGACGCATTCGTAGTAAAGGTGCCCAAGAAATTATTTTGGCCATTTATTGTTTTGTCCTTTTCTTTGAAGAACTGTTTTTTTTTTCCTTTTGTTTACTTTTAGACCAAAGATTGGATTCTAGAAAATGCACTTGGTATACTAAGTATTAAGACAAACAAACAAAAAAGGAAAGTTGTTTCAGTTGGCAACACTGCCCATTCAATTGAATCGGAAGGGGACAAAATTAATGATTGCCTTCAGTTTGTGTTGTGTATATTTTGATGTATGTGGTCACTAACAGGTCACTTTTATTTTTTCTAAATGTAGTGAAATGTTAATACCTATTGTACTTATAGGTAAACCTTGCAAATATGTAACCTGTGTTGCGCAAATGCCGCATAAATTTGAGTGATTGTTAATGTTGTCTTAAAATTTCTTGATTGTGATACTGTGGTCATATGCCCGTGTTTGTCACTTACAAAAATGTTTACTATGAACACACAGAAATAAAAAAATAGGCTAAATTCATATATATCTTGATACTTTTGTCTCTTTTATTAAGTAGAGCTAATTTTTAAAGACCATTCGAGTTATAGGGAATTCAGAGACTTTTTCAGCCAAAATAAGATTTAAACTGCTCCTTTAACTTGAACTGAGACTCTAAAAATGAAAGAAAGTATTTTTCCCTTTGTGAACAGATTTTACAAGGAGCAGGCTATTTAATAAACACTAGCTTTAAACAAAGTATAGGCCTTTCAGCTGATATCTTTAAGTTTTTGTGAATATACAGCAAAAAGATATAACTTAATTTCATGTCATACTTGTTAACCCTGTGTTGATTTTCAAATCAGTTAATAGAATGCTTTTTATATATTTTGTTGCAGGTATCTTGTTTATAGCACTTGGCAAATTATAAATAAATATATGTATATGGTTAGATAGAAGTGAATATAATGCACACATATGTAATATATATATATATATATATATAGACACACAGAGCCCATCAGTTCAGGTACAACTTGCGCCATGAATGCTGCAGACATTTTTGTTTAAATATTTGTATTTATACTTTCTAAGTCAGCATTTATTTTTGTGGCTGTTTACCCACAATGAAAGAGTTCTAATAAAGATGTGCTGAAGTTGCAATATAGATTTTGCTGAAGTGATCACCTGTTGTAATGACTTGCAGATCAATGTTTATACCTTACTTTGAGTTATAACAATTTAAAATTCTAGATATCCAAGAGTAAATGCCTCTCTCCTATTTTTTCATTTTTTACCATGCAGAGGTATTTATTGATTCTCTTTTCAATATTGTGTATAATTTGACTTAGAGATGTGTTCTTTTGCCTACACTGAGACATCATTTTGCTAATATTTGCAATATGCATATGTATGCATATGTATGCATATATATGAAACAGAATGAGAACATTTTTTGAATTGTTTCAGGCAGCCCATTGCTATAATTCCAGAAAATAATTAGAAAACCAGAGTAAAAGGTTTAGTAACTAATTGGATCCTGTGGTGAGTCTGTGGAGGACAAGTTGTTCATTTGTTACAATTGTATAGTCTGAAATGTGTTCTGCAGTAATGCAATAAGCTGGCTACTTCTTACAATGGGCCCAATGAAAAATAATCTGTCCCCAAGATGTTATCGGCAAACACTTAGAGAGTTGCTCAGGGGAAAAAAAGCCTATTGGAGAAGCAAGTTGACCAAAATAGATTTGAAATTGAAATGCAGAATACTTAATATTGGAAAATAGGGAGATGTGAGAGTTGAGGAATATAGAGAGGAGGAGAGAATGAGAGGCTCTTTATGCTAAAAAAAAAGGGGGGGGGGTCCCCCAGCAGTAAAAAGAATGAATGATCAAGAAATCTAAGAAAGAAAGATAAAGGGCAGGAAAATTAAAAGAGTGGAAAACAAATATACACAAATGGGGAATGAACAAAAATAGACCAGGACAGCTAGTTTAATTATCTCTGTTAAGCAAACTGAACATTTTATTTTCTTAGTATGAGGACAGTTTCACCAGAGGTCCAAGTTCCTTGGAATTTAACAATTCTTCAGAACAAAGCATAAAAGATAATCTCACAAATTATTTTAAAAGCCAAACTTATGGCTGATATTAAAAATAGTAATAGAGTCCAAATGAATGAGGTTAAGCAAAGGATATTCACAATACACATTTGTGAACAAAAATACCTCAAAGAAAGACAAGTGTTTAGATTGAAGAAAGGTGATGATGTACCGTTTGCTTCTGCCATGATTTTATTGTGAAATCAGAATGTACTAGCAACAGGGGAAATACAGTATTTTGCCCACCAAAAGTTCAAAAGAAAGTTGAACTCTTAACAGTGACGTAAAAGGATATAGATATAAAAGAAAAATTTCCTCCATGAGTATTTGTTGTCTGGCCATACTATCTATCTATACTTGTTTGTAATTATACTTATTTGGATTATAGAGAAATACAATTTCAATGGCAAACTTCAAATTTTGATGTTAACAACAGAGTAGTTAACTTCTCTGAATTTATAGGAACTAAGTGCCGGAAGAGAAAGTTCTGCTTGGACCCATACCCAAGATACATATACAATGGATATGATTAGATGTTTGTTTATTAGGGGTACTGGAAACGAAGGGGGGGGTCTACAAAAATAGAACTTTGTGAAGGCTTCCCAAAGCCCAATATTTACATTTAATTTACCTTGACCTATTCTATCATTCCTTAAGTTATATTCTCAAAAAATATTTGAGAGTCTGACATGGCCTTTGATACATTTTTACATCAAATTTGTGGAAATGTGTTATTTGTTGTTACTAACCTTGGCCAGTTAAAATTTGCCTATGCCAGAAAAAAACACTTCTAAACTTTTTGAAGATTTTCTTCTTCCACACTTACTTTAATGAGATGAGGGACTCCTTTTTTGAGCTTTTAGAACTGAAAGTAGTCACTACTTAAAACCTGAAATCCCAAATTGTAGTTTATTTCAGGCTTAAAATGCTTTATTTGGATTTGTCTAGTAGTTAGTTAATTTAAATATTAGTATATAAAACATTGAGAAAATAATGTAGTTAAAACTATCGGTGAAAGGATTCTTCCAAATGTTTCTTCAGCCTGTTATAGAATTGGAAACTGAGTGAACACTAAGTCCAGAACTAACCAGATTTAATATAGATATCCTCATGGTCATGGAAACCTTTGTGTGGTTTCTATGACTTGCATAAAATCAAGGCCAGACAGGCAAAAAATGAATCTTGCAGTGTAATGATTTAAATGTCTAAGTTGGTGTATATTTTACCCAAATAGGTATAACTCTAATATATTCCAAACTCTATATAAATTGTGGTTTTAAAGACATGTACTGTTGGAATTGTTGAGGAATTTGCATGCATTGAAATAATTTGTTTTTGAGCAATTTTATGAATAGCTAAAGTGGCTGGTTGTGTTTGAGACTAAAAGCCTGTTGGAGAATTAGGCTAACAAAGGGTGAAGGTGAAGATCATTAGAGGTTTTAGAGCTGGCTGAGACGGGTTGCTGGGGTTGTGTAACTGTGCCTAGAGGGCGGGGTTCCTGTACATTCCTACTTCACCAGATAACCTGCCCCCAGCACCACTCCAGCTTCTACCAGACAGATGGAACTCTCCAACAAGAAAATCTGCGCAGCCATTCCAACAAGCAGGGTAGGTGAAACTTGAATTGAAATCGCCCCTCTTTACTTTTCGACTCGAGTCCTGATCCTGGAGAGAGGGAAAGAATAGAGGTCATCTAGATTGTCTCTTTCGCGCGCGCGCGCGCACGTCTCCGTTCTAAGAGCTACCTACCTGTAAGAGTTAAAAAGGCGCTATAGAGTCTATTTTGTCTGATACCAGTATCATTACTCCAGCTTTTTTTTTTTTTTTTTTTTTTTTGGCTTTCTTTTCCCTATCCCAATCATTTTCCTCTTCTACCCTCCCCCCACGACCCCCTCCCTCCAACCACCAACAGTTAAAATAATCCACCGCTCAATTTTCGG